TTTTTAACATCTATGTCCCAGGCACAAGGTCACACATTTCTGTAAAGAAAACAGTACTACTGCTTAAATCACCTAGGGACACTCACACACGACACTGGGATACTTTAGTACTCCAATCTCACAAATGGACAGGTCATCTAGACAAGGACTAAACACTGAAATACTGGATCCAAGAAAGGTTATAAACCAAAGGCCTAAACAGATATTTACGAAACATTTTAACCAAACTACAAAGACTATAACTTTCTCTATTTACCTGGTGGAACTTTTGGAAAAATTGATCTTGTAATCAGAAAAAAAAAAAAAACAAGTCTCAAAAGATACAAAAAATTTACATTACACCCTGAATTTTATAAGATGGCTACTCTAAATAGCTGTATATGACAGACAACAGAAAGTCTATAAACTCATGAAAATTGAACAACTATTGACTCAAAAATGAATCAATGTTTCAACATTAGAACATGATATGATAGTAAGCATAAGTGAGCCAATAAAATTTCACCAGGGAAATTCTATCGCTTATAAACACTTGGAGAATTCTAGGAAAATAAAAAAAAATAATGACTAGATCTCTTATATTCAAATGCCAAATGAACTGAGAAATCAAGGAAACAACACCTTTCACAATAGACTCAAATAATATAAAATATCCTGGGAAAAATCAAAGCAAGCCAGCAAAAGACTTGTATGATAAAAAACCTCATTTTTGAACTAAGCAATTGACAAAGATATCAGAAGCTGGAAAACCTCTGATGCTTATGGATCAAAGATTTCAACATAAAGACAGATGCACTGGATCTGCTAGATGAGTAGTTGGGGAATATTGGAACAGGAGAATTTTTGAACAGAGTATGGAGAGCTCAGGCACTCAGAACTACAAGCAATAAATAGCACCGCAAGAGACAGAAAAGCTTCTGTAAGGACATCTTCAGTTGGATAAAGCAGTATCCTTCAGGATATGGTAAGATTTTTACCAACTCTGGAGAGAGAAACAGAATGCTTGTATTCAAAATATATAGAGAGCTCAAGAAACTTTGTATGAAAAGAACAAGTCATTCTGTTGAAAATGGGGTAAACTTCTAAATAGGGAATTCTCAAGAGAAGATTCTCAAATTTCTGAAAATTAATTAATTTTCATCACACTTGATTGGTCAGTAAAAGTATTGATCAGTCTATTCACTGCACAGAAGAGAATAGAGTGGGATCTCCCAATTCAGTCAGGAAGTGTATTCGAGTTTCAGGGGTCCCAGATGACATGCCTTGTAAGAGAGCAGGGCCTGTAGGAGGAGAATACTGTAGAGAAGCCACCTGAAGAGAAAAGGGAGAATTTCCATGAGGTCACCATTAGAGAACAGCTATATACCAGAGTGAGCATATAGTTGGCAATTTGATTATTAGCAGTTTGGTTGAGTGACAATCAGATGTTATTAAGGTATTATTCCGTACAGCTTGTTAATAAGCAATACCAGGTCTCCAAGTCTTTTTATTTTTTTTAATTATTTTTATTTTGGACATTTTCTTTATTTACATTTCAAATGTTTTTCTTTCCAGGTCTCCCTTACAGAAATTCCCATTTCAATCCACCTCCCTCCTACTCTATGAGGGTGCTCCCCCACCCACCCATCCACTTCAGTCTTCCCTTTCTTCAATTCACATACACTGGGGCATCAAAAATACCCAGGCCCAAGTAGCTTCTCCTCCCATTTATGACCAACAATGCCATCCTCTGCTACATATGTGGCGAGAGCCACAGATCCCTCTGTGTGTATCCTTTGTTTGGTCTTCCAGTGCCTTAGAGCTCCTTGGAGTCTGGCAAGTTGACACTTTTGCTCCCTCCATGTGGCTGCAACCCCCCTCAGCTGCTTCAGTCCCTTCTCCAATAATTCCACTTGGAAACTAGCACTCAGTTCAATAGTTTACTGAGATCAACTGCTTCAGTATTTTTCAGGCTCTGGTAGAGCCTCTCAGGAGACATCTATTTCAGATCTCTGTCAGCAAGAACTTTCCAGCATCTACAATAGTGTCCAGGTATAAGAAATGGATCTCCAGGTGGAGCAGTCTCTGAACAGCCTTACCTTCAGTCTCTGCTCCACAAGTTGTCTCCCTATTTCCTCATGTGAGTACTTTGTTCACCCTCCTAAGAAGCAATGGGATACAAACACTTTCATTTTCCTTCTTCTCAGGCTTCATATGGTCTGAGTATTGAATTGGAGAGTTAAAATGGATTAGAGCAGACATAAAACTCCTCTTCAGTTATTTGGAAACAAGGGGCCATAGACCACCTCCTGAAATATTTACTTCTATCGACACACCACACTGAGGTTAAATGGGTAGTTCACAGTGGTTGCATATCACATATCCTGTGTATGAGCTATTTACATTATAATTCCTAACAGTAGCAAAATTGCAGTTAAGAAGGCAGAGTAAAACAATTTTAACATTGGGAGTTACCTCAACATAAGAAACTATATTAAATAAATGGTCACAGCATTAGGAAAGTTGAGAGACAGAGATTTAGAAGATCTTTTGGTTTTTACTGGGAGGAAGAAGTTAAGTAGATTTTATCAGCTGACCAGGGGTAGGTGGAGATGTGATGGAGAAGGAGGATCATACAAGTGGTGAGGTGGAGCAGAGGTAGCTAGTACTGGGGAACCATTTGGGGAATTGTAAACCTAACACAGTGGAAATGTTCTGGAAAGTGTGATGGTGTTCCTAATGAGGAGTTTTAGTATTGGGGAATACAGAGTCTTAACTGGTCATCTCTTCTAGTCATGAAAAGCTTCCAGTGGGAGAACTTAGTTGGATTTATTTGAGTTTTTGTCAAGAGAGTCCCGTGGAGATCATCCAACACCTCAGGCTTGTGCTGAGACAAAAGTATGCTATCTGCAAACTGACAGTGGTCCCCACTACTGATGACAACAACCACACAATTCACTGAACATGGAAAAGTCAGCTGGTGCCTACATAGATGCCTTTCCCTAAATTCTAGTGTTTTTGTGAGGGATGATAATCTGCAGGCTATTAAAAGAGAAACAGACAACTCAGCAACAAAATCTTGACCTACAGTATGTTTTGCCTAGGCAATCTGTCAATGCTAGGGCAATTGTGACCCAGAATTTTTGGGAGTAGCCAACCAATGACTGTTTTGAGTTATAGCCTATTCTCCTAGATCGAACCCATTTCTAACAGTACTCAGGAAACTAAGAATCAGAGCCTAGGTAGCCTAGAGACCTAGAGTAGATCAAATCATTGGTGATCTTTAAAAAAAAATCTCAAATAATTTCTAAAGAAATTCAGTTATGATCAAATATCAGTGTCCTATCTATTCATCATCAGAAGAGTTCTTCTAGTAGCAGATGTGAACAGATGAAGATACCCACAACGAGACATTTTGCACAGATTTTCTCTAAATTGGAGCTCTTATCACTTCCTTCTACTCAGAGCTCAGGACAAGGCTTCTCAGGTCCTATTGGAGTTTTACTAATAATGACACAGATACATCTATATAGTTTAATGCTGTTGGCTTTTTGCTGGGGCAATGTATCACCTAGCACTCTCAACTTAACCCAACTTCTTCCCTGATGTTTCCCTACCACTGATCCTCTCTCCATGGGTCTCACTGTTTCCCTCCATGCTTCAGTCACCTCCATTAGATACTCCTGTAGAACAGGAGACACAATGATGATAAAAGGGGACAAAGGACACCTAGGGAACTAGGCTCTCTGAACTAACTAAGCAATGGCCATAGGAGCTCATCCAGACTGAAACTCAAGTACATGGCCGACCTGGGCTTACACCAGGTCTTCTGCATCTTTTTTTTAGTTATTAGCTTAATACTTTTATGGGACACTGAACAAGTTTGTCACTGACTCTTGTGCCTGTTCTAGGAACCCTTTATCTCCTGTTTGGTTAGTGTGTTCAACTTCAGTATCATAACTTTTTTTTTCATTTTACTATATTTTTCTCACGTTTGGAAGCTCATTCTTTGAAGTCTGTTCTTTTCTCATAATAAGCAGAAAGGGATGGATCAGGAAGGTAGAGGAAGTGGGGAGGAACTGATAGGAGGAAAGTAGGGCAAGCCATAATCAGGGTACGCAGCATGAGAATAGAATCGATTTTCAAAAAAAAAATTCTAGCAACTGCATACAACAATCTATTATTACTTCACAAGTTGTGTATGTTGTCTGTTTCTCTTCATTATTTTCCCACCATAGACTTCAGTGAATATTTGACCTAATCATTAATTATGCAGGCAACTCGAAGTGTTTCAGAATTATAGGTACCAAAAGGATTTTGACCATGACTGGAAATTTCTCCATTTTAAATACATAGGTATATGGAGAATTACTGGGATGATATTATATAATGAGTAAGAATTTTATGAAAATTGATACAAGATAAGGAGTGGGTATGTTGAAGGACAACCTAGTAGGGAGAATAAAACAATGAATGTACATCCACTATAGTGAACTTTAAAGGCATTGAAATAAAATTTATTTTAGAAGACAAAAAAAGATGCAGTGGTCTCCTGCAGTCATAGAGTGTCTGAATTAATACTTTGAAATGATTATACTATTGAAAGTGAACAATATAAATTCAATACCATCCACATCAAACTTCCAATGATATTCTTGATAGAATTTGAATACCTTTCATTATTTGTAAGCATTTATCAAACTTTACGATGTTAAGGTAAGCAATACTAAGCAGTATTGATTAATTCCTACTATTGGAGACAACTTTTCTGTAGTCTTGTCAAACTATGTTTTGGGTTGGTGAGTCTTCACTACACGGCCAGAGCTTAGGAATCTCCTGGTCTAGTTCAAGATTTGATAAAAGATTGGCTAACTCTTCTTTGGTAATAAGTCTTTCCTTTGAAAATAGTGTTTATCTGTTTTGTTGTTGTTATTGTTGTTGCTTTTGGGTTTGGTGTTGTACTCTTCAATCATACAGACCAGAATTCAACTGACACTTAATGTTTTAAATTATTGATATTGTCTGCTCCTAGATCATACAAGTGTGGCAGTTATGTCTCATGTGCCTCAGTAGGTGGCAGAGAAGAGAGACGCTATGTCAAAGCTCAGTGTTGTGGTCTGAGAACATCTGAATGATGAAGAGTATGACACAGGACTGAAGGAGCTGAAGGTGTTCTCAACCCCATAGGAAGAACAACAATATTAATCAACCAGAACTCCCCACACACACAGAGCTCTCAGGGACTAAAGCACCAAACAAAAAGTACACATGGAAGGACTCATGGCTCCAGCTACATATGTAGCAGAAGAAGCTCTTGTGAGGCATCAATAGGATTTGCTCTTGGTCCAATGAAGGCTCAGTGCCCCAGTGTAGGGGAATGCCAGGGAGGGGAGGCTGAAGTGGGTGGGAAGTTGGCGAGCACCCTCATAGAAGCAGGGGAAGGAGAGATGGTGTATAGGGATATCTTTGGTGGGTGGGAACCTGGAATGGGATGATATTTGAATCACAAATTAAGAAAGTATCTAAGAGGGAAAACATAATCTAAAGCACCCTCTAAAGAGTGATCCAGAAATAACCTACTTCTGTATAGGTCTAGATTGGAATCAGTGGTGGGGAGCAAGCTGGAAACAAGACAACCCTGCCTGTGACAATGGAACATGGTCAGAAATGAGCCTTAGACATAAAACTTCTGAATGGGGCAACATAGGCAGGTGCAGGCAAGGAGAAATCGGGAGAGAACCACCAGTCTAGAGCCAGGCAGCCCAGACAGAGTTCTAGCCTGAGATGATCATCAGTCTGGCTGAAGGTCCAGCAACAGACCCAAAGGGGGCCCTAGCCAAGAGGAGGACCAGAGGCACGACACTATTACTGAGGGTATACAATAATCACAAAAAGGGGTCTATCATGACTGCCCTCTGAATGACCAAACAAGTACCTAAAAGTGTCAGTTTCAGATATTTACTCTCAACCAGTGAAAAGAAGCTCCTGACCCCTGTAATTGACTTAGTAAAAACCTTGAAGTAGCTGAGGCGTAGGGTAACCTTGTAGGAGGATCAATAGTCTCAAATAACCTGGACCCCAGAGATCTCCCAGACACTGGGCCACCAATTACCCAGTATAAACAAGCTGATACGAGGCTGCCAACACATATACCAAAAGTGGACTGCCAGGTCTGGATTCAGTCATAGAAGGTGCACCTACCCCTCAAAGGACCCCAAGGAATGGGGAGGTTTGGGTGGAGTAGGGGTTGGAGGGGGGAGGTTGGTGACCTTTTCGGAGAGACAGTTGGTGAGCAGAACAGTATGTTAAACCATCAGAGTGTGACCATGGAGAGGGATAAAATCTGAAGTGTAAAAGAAAGATTAAATAAAATTAAAAAAAGAGTCAAGAGTTACATATCAACATTTTATTCATAAGTAATAAATTAAAAAAACAAATTATAATATGAATGGAAATATAAACTGTGAAAATCATTAGCAAAATCAAAATGAATAACAGGAACATGTAATATCTCAATGACATAAGAGAAAACAAAACCATGCAAAACCAAATTTCAATCAAAACTTTAACAGAGATAATTGTGAAGGGACATTCCCTCACTGCAGATTTATCAGCACAGACTACAGCCAGTTTCTCCTCTTCAGCAGTTGCTGGTACTGCTGTCAACTCAGTTCTCTTTCAAGGGGTCACACAGGAAAGAGAAAAAGACCCTGAATCAGCCTGGCTGTCTCACTGGCTATATAATTTGGGCCTATCCAAACTGTGGAAATGATCTATGAGGAAGGAGATTCATCCAAAGAAGTCTG